GTAAGTATTAATATGCCTCTTTTACTTTACTTTATGCACTAAAAAACTTTATACCTTTAAATGCCTAGTTTGACAAAGAGGCATAATTACTTTTCTTTTTCATTCCTTAATTCAATAGTATTTCATTAAATATGAGCCCAAAGTTATTGCTTGCTATTGCTTTATTTTCATAAATATCGATTATTTCCGTAATACCTCTTGTGTTAAATGTTAGCCCTAACGTAGCATAGTTACTTGTTCTATTTAAGTTATATTCCTTATATCTATACTAATGCCATAAATTAGAGCTTTTCACCAAGTAGACACAGCATTTACAGTAGTGTATACTTTAAACTTTAGAATTTCCACTTGCTTTTATTTATTATGCCTTTTGTCTATTTATTTTGTAATATTCGCACCTCTTTATTTGCATCTCTCGTTTCCCATTCAAATTGACGATTATGACTATTCCCGTTAGGCCCCAGACGAGCGTCTTCCTGATGACGATGAGGGGGATGTGATTCTGCCCAGGTGGAAGGCAATGCAGATTGAAAAGTTAGGTGGTTCTAATTTACTGGAGATTGGCTCTCAGCAGCAAGCTGGTGACGGGAGCATAGCGCTGGAGCCAGAACTGAGGCCAGATGTCACGGGTAGGAAATTTTATTTAATTATTTTCTGTCTTTACCACACCTCTTTTCATCTCTATTAAATATTCTAGTCCTAACACATTTTTACTCTCTTAATAGGCATATAAGTGTTAATTTAATCTACAAATTGTGCGGAATTTTAAACCTTAGGTCTGTAATCAGCCCTATTTAGACCTATTTCAAGACGAATGAGATTCATTTAATAGATAAATTTTAAAAGCTATCTTTAATTGCATGAAGACTAAATATTTTTTTACTTATTTATATATTTACGCATAATTATATGCGCATCATATAAGTTCTATTTATATGTGTATTTTATTTAACAATAAAAAAAAAGAGTAAATAGGTACTTGGGGCACTCTAAGTCGCGAGGTCAAAGCTGCAGACCATTTTTGATG